GGGCTACTTCTTCTTCTTCTTGGCCATCTTGAGCTTCCCTTCTATCAGCCTCTGGCCCTGCTTCTTGATCTCGGCCCGCGAAGGGACGTAGCTGTGGTCCAAGTCGGCAAACTGGAAGGTTTCTAGAAGAGAAGGCGGCGGCGGCTGGGAGCCGGCACTCTGAAGCCCCTCACGGGCCCTGTCCACACCGCCTCCCCTCCTCCCCGCCCACCACCGCCTGCTGCCCTGCAGGACAGGACGAGCGCCATCACCTAACCCTCTGCTGCTGTGACCTGGGCCGAGTCCAGCTCCAGCCTGGTCCACCTTCCCTCCCGGTGGCCGCCACCCAGGCCCCGCCCCGCCCTCGGCCCCGCCCCCAGGTCCCGCCCCCGGCCCAGCGCTGGCCCGGCCCTACCTATCACATCCTCCTCCAGTTCCTCAAAGCTGATCTTGGTGTTCTGCTTCTCCTTCAACGTGGAGGACTCCAGGATGTCCCTTACCTTCGTGCCGACCTGCGGGCGGGCAGAACTCCCTCAGCTTTGTAGGCACAGAGCGGGCGGTGGGCTCGAGGTTCACCTCCCGGCCAGGCTACCTCCTCCGTCCTGGTCAGCGTCTGCACCCTGTCCACCAGGTACATAAGCTTCGTCTCGCAGTACGCCAGCTTGCTGTACACATCGAGGGGACTGGAGACCGCCACTTCTTTCTGTAGTCAAGAGGAGGGTCTGATGCCTGCCTGGCCTACCCCACGACCCTCGCGGTGGGGGCGGCTTCTCCCCCGGCGGGCACCTGGCCGGGCGGCGTGGCGATACCGATGAGCCGGATGTAGAGGTTGTCGATGCCCGTCTGGATGGTCAGCAGCAGCTTCTGGCTCTTGGTCAGGTTGCTGAGGGCCAGCTGGAGCCGGTCTTCCTCCTCTTGGAGCATGTCCTTCATTTTATTCTCGATGGATACAAAGCTGTTGACGATGGTGAGGATGCAGGAGCCGAGGGCGAGCTGGCCGGCGTCACGGGTGGGGGCCGTACTACATTCAGGGGCTCGGGAGCCCCAGTGTGGGGGCCAGTTGGGGTCCCTGGCTGGGCTTCCTGCCCACGGGGGCTGCCCACAGGTGCTAGCAGGTGGTCCGCACGCCCAGGACGCCTCCCTGGGGTACCTGACCGAGCTGGGCATCTGCTGGAACTTGAGCACTGCCTGCTCCAGCTCCAGCTTCTTCATCAAGGCTTCCAGCTGCTTCCGCCGCTCCTCACAGTCCTCCATCTGCAGCTCCAGGTTCTCCTCCGTGTTCCTCTGTGCCAGGAATCGGCCGGCGATGTCCTGGCCAGTCCAGCAGGGAGAGAAGCAGGAGTGGGCCGAGGGGGCGGGGCCCTCCTCTGTGCTCCAGGCTGGGTCACAATATCGTCTGCTGCCACACACTCAGGGTTTGCTGGGGCCAGCCCCTGGCAGGGTGTCTCCCACATGCCACTGCATGAGAGCCTCACAACACCTCATAGAGGGTGGATGGCCTCTCGCGGACGAGACTATGCTGAGACATCCAGGTGCTTTGGGTCGCTTGTCCGAGCATAGGCAAGCAGTTAGTGACAGGGCCACCGTGGAGGGAAAGGCTATGCTCTCAGTGCTTGGAACCTCCATTGAGCAGGCTCTGTGTGGTCCTGGAACGGGGCTCAGGTGCCCCAGACACGTCCCAGGTGCCCTCTATGCTAAGCTGCCCCACTGGCCATTTCCTGCAGGCCAGGCAGGCCCAGGGGTGCAGCTTTCTGTGCCCATTCCAGGGGGCCTGCAGATCCAATCGGCCAGGGGCTGGGCCAGAACTCACAGGCCCTTCACCCCACCCAGGGAGAGCCAGGGCCTTACCCAGAGGTGGGAGCAGCGCACAGCACTCTTCACACGCTCCACCATTGCGGTCACATCTGCCTGGTATTCGATGTCAGCTTTGGAGGTCTCCTTTCGCTTCACTGGGCAGAACAGAGGGCAAGGGGCAGCTGGTACGCAGGGATGTTACAAGCGCGCGGGTGCCAGGCCCCTGGAAGCCTCCACATGTGCCTGGGTTTCCGGGGAGGCCACCCCAGGGTCCTGGGACCTAGGAGTCAGATGACCTGCTCCCCTCGTGGTGGTGAATTTTATGTGTCCATGTGGTTGGGCTCTGGTGCCCAGTTGTTTGGGCAAACACTAGTCTAGTTGCTGTTTTGTAGTAGTTATGTGTAATTTAATCAGCTGGACTCCAGCACAGCAGATCATCCTCTGTAATGTGGGTGGGCCTCGTCCAATCAGTTGAAGCATTTAGAGCAAAAAAGGGAGTTTCCCTAAGATGTGTTCTGCCTCCAGACTGTAAATGGATATTTTGGTGGTACTCTGTGTTCACTCCTCCCATCACTTGACCTGTGGGTTTGGGACATAAGCCTGCAGGAGTCTCCCCACTGCCGCCTGGTCCTGTGGATTTGAGACTCACCAGCTCCCCACAATCATAATCCCGTGAACCAGTTCCTTAAAATCAATCAGTCTCTGTCTATCTGTCTGTCTGTCTGTTCATCCGTCTCACGGGTTCTGTCTCTCTAGAGAACCTTGGCTAAGACACCTGTCCTCAGTCCAGTCCTCCAGGGACACCCCAGGTCGGCTTGGTGCTTCTTGCTTGGAGACGGGCCTGGGGCCCAGGGGACTCACCTTTTCTGAGGACTCACTGGGTGACTGGGCCCTGGGGAGCTAGGGGACAGCATCTCCATGTGCCTGAGGCTCAGCCACACGTGGCCCAGAGCCTGGGAGCAATGGCGTCCCAGTGTGAGTGTGACCATTTGGCGCTGGCCTCTTTGGGTGCAGCCAGGGAGAGGCAGGGGCTTCTCTGTCTCCCTCACCCTGGTGACCATGGTTTACACCTGGCCTTCTGGGCGATGTGGCTGAGCGGCTGAGCCAGCACCAGTCTCTCCAGACACTGGTGGGAGAGGCGGAGCCCAGGGCTCACCTTTCTGGTTCTCTGTGCTCATCAGGTTGGAGGGGAAATCCAGGTCTCGCCGGCCCTGCAGGGGGCAGGAGGGTGAGCAGCAGCCCCCGCAGGGGAGTAGGCCCAGGGATACCCTGAGCGGAGCTGGCCACCCCCTTGGCTGCTCACCCGCCGGTACTTCTCACTGGTCTCCTTGGTGTGGATCTTGTCAATCAGCTTCTTCTGCTGGTTGAGCCGGTTCTCCCGTGCCCTCCGCTCCTCGATGAAGGATGCCTCCGCTTGGCTCATGTTCATCTGGGGACAAAGGGAAGTGTGGGGTGGTCTGTCCCACCGAGGTGACCAGTGGACTCCCAGGGTGCGAAGTCCAGCAGTCAGCGGTAGGGCCTTATCTTCCTAGATTCTGGAATGGCATTCAAGGCTGTTGGCACCCCCTTCTTCCTAAAACGCTCATGCAGTTCATGACACGCTGTCCGCTGCGGATTGAATTGTGTCCCCCTCTCCAACCATGTGTCCAAGTCCTAACCCCTGTACCTCTGACTATGACATGGCTTAAAAATAAAGGTTTCTTTTGTTCTGTTAATGAGGCCATATGGGAATAAGGTGGGTCCTAAACCTAATCCCTTCTGAGCGGTGTCCTATAAAAAGAGCAGGGCAAACCCACGTGGGGAAGACACAGACACATCTGTGAGCACCAAAGGAATGCCAAGTGTTGCTGGAGACCCCAGAAACTAGGAGAGGTGCCCACAGAAGGAACTGACACAGCTGAGACCCTGATTTGGACATGAAAGGTCTAGAATTGTGAGAAAATACATTTTTGTCCTTTAAAGCCACCCACTTGTGGTATGGTTTGTCACAGCAGCCCCAGGACACTTAAACAGGGACCACGTCTGCCTTGGTCACTGCCATCTCCGCAGAGCCCTGCAGGGGCCTTGGCATAGAGCGGGCGGGTGAGGGACCCCATTCCCAGCCAGGCCTATTCTCTCCACCCCACCCCTGCCTCATGTCTCCCGTGTGATCCTAGTGGGATCCTCTGTCCAGGTTACAGGGGTTGCCTGGGCAGAGGCTGATGGGCAGCCACTGTGTTTCCCCAGGCTGGACAGATCCAGGAAGACCTGGAACCTCCCTCCCAGTACTGGGACCCACAGCTCACCTTGACCTCGTCTGTGATCATCATGGCATCTCGGGACATGACCGTCATGTCCGACAGCTCTGAGCAGTAGCTGACCACGCGGTTTTGCAGTTTGTCCAGCTGAGTGGGGTATTCTGCCAGCTCCTGCGGCGAGAAGGCCGGGCGGGTGGGTACAGAGCTGACCCCCCCTCTAGCTCCAGGGTGCCCCACACTCAGTGGACCTGGCCTACTCCCTACCCTCCTCCTGCAGACTGTGTGAGCCCTGAGGACAGTGGTGGGGCTCCTACCAGGCAGTACTCCCTGGACAAGGGCTGGAGGCCTGGGGCCTGCGACCCCCACCTTTCATGACCAGCGGGGCTCCCTGGGGCTCTGCGTGCAGAGGAGGACTGCGTGGTGGGCGAGGGGGGCTCACTTTCTTCAGATACTCCAGCAGGCCTACATACAGCAGGTGGATGTTCTGGCTCGTGGTGATCTTGACCATGGTCTTTTCGATGTTGTTCTCCAGCTGGCGGATGATCTGGGGCGGGCCGAGAATACAAGTGAGCCGGCTCAGGGATGCGCCACGGCACTCACCCGGGAGGGGCAGGAGACTGGACTACAGGGTGTGGGACCGGGCGCTCTTCCAAGGGGGTCGCGCTCACCTAGTCCCACGGAGCCCAGCTCCATCTGCAGCTCCGTCCCGCCCTAGAGCACCGCCCCTCCCCTGTGTCGCCTTGTCCCCCTGGCAGGGCCCGGCCCCCCCGCGGAGCCCCTATCGGAGCCCCACCCATCCCGCGGTCCCCTCTCCTCTACCAGAACACCGCCTCTGCCCGAGGAGCATCTCTCTGCCCCTGAGGCCCCCTCCAGATCTCCCCCACACCGCCATCCTTCCGCCACCCTCAGCGATTCCCTGCCCTCTCCAGAGAGGCCCTATCCCTCCTGTGGCTTCACTCCTCTTTTGGAGCCCTACCTGGCCCCGCCTCCGCGTGGCTCTGCCTCCTAAGTAGCCACGCCCCCTGTGGAAGCCCGTCCCTCTTTCACAAGCGGAGCCCCGCCCCTGCTCATGGAGCCCCACCCTCCAGCGATCTCGCGGAGCCCCGCCCCGCCAGTTCCCGCCGGAGGCGCACCTGCAGCATCCGCAGCTCCTCCTTGGTGGCGTCCGGTTGGCTCTCTAGACTGGCGAGCTCCAGCTGCATGCTCTCCAGCTTCTGCCCGCGGCGCCGCACCAGGTGGATCAGCACATTGTGCACGTTCACGCGGTCGAAGACGTACTTGCGCAGCTTCTCCCTGGCCACCTGGGTCGGGGAGGGCACCGCCGCTCGTGGGTGCGCGGCGCTCGCCGAGGGGCCCCGACTGGAGAAGCCGCGGGGCGTCAGGGATCCCTGAGGTTGGGGGCTGCCCCGCACCCCCACCATGTGGGGGGAAGAGAAGGGGTGCGCAGGGCTGAGGGCTCCCCTTCCTGTCTGCTTACCTCCATGGTGCTGCGGCAGTGCGCCAGCCTCATGGGCATGTCGGTCCGGCAGGCCTTGGAGATGGTCCACTGGTCGTACTGCGCAGAGGCCGTGGCTGAGCCAGGGAAGCCCTCTGCGTCTCACCCTTCCCCCTGTCGCCCAGGGCCTCGTCTGCCCTCTGCCAGCCCAGCGGCAAGACCCCTGCTCCCGGGGCCACAGGGAACAGACAGCTGTAGGACCCCATCCCGGCCCAGGCCTCCCCTCCCTGACCGCAGAGCAGAGGGGCCCTGCTGCAGGGGGTGGCCCAGGACCGGACTCCCTCTGGGCCAGCCTGTCCTCACCGATGCTGGGTCCTCTGAGGAGTAACTGGAGCCCTGGGCCCAATCCCAGGGGGCCCCTCCTCCGGATGCCCTGCCTCCAGAAACGAGGTGCTCCTTCCCTCTGTGTGTGTGTGTGGGCGGCTGCTTCGCATGTGCCCACCCGACCCAGCCAATGGGGTGTGAGGGCTCGGCACCTTCTTGGCCAGAGCCCAGTCCTGGGCCCCATGGCGGATGTTGTCACGGAGGAGGGCCATGGTTGCCTTGCTGTGGACTGTCTTCTCCTTCACCGACTGGATCTGCAGTGCCCGGCACTGCTCTGGGGGCAGGGAGAGGGCGGGGTGTGGGCCAAGGGCCTGGAGGGGGACACTGCCCAGCAAGTGGGTGTCCTGGGAGGACATGGCATGGGGGGGTCAGGATGCCATCCTCTCTGCGGAAGCCCAGAAAGCTCTTACACAGACAGGCCCACTTGAAGCCCCCAGCACCCCCCAGTGCCCGCTGCGTGGCAGGGCCCTTTGATCCCTCCTGGCCCTGTTTCGGGGAGGACACTAAGGTAACCCACTAGCCCCATTTGCCCGGGGCCGTCCTGGCTTTCCAGCGGAAAGTCCTGCGTCTGGGACAGTGGCTGATGGGCAAGCCCAGCAGCTGGCCTACCCTGGAGCCGTGTGATGGTCTTCAGTTCCTGGATCTGCTCCTCCGTGTCCCCTTCCCTATACATCTTCATGGTGGCCCTTGGAGTCCTCGAGTGCTCTCTGCACGCACACCCTCTGCTCCGCTGGCTCAGATAGTCCCAGGCCTCTGCAGCCCATTGTGATGTGCACCGGGTTCTCCACGCCCAGGGAACCCGGAATGCCAGGCCTGCCCCGCCCCCACCCTCTGCTCGCAAGGGTCACACCCAGGACACTATGGACTGCTCAGAAGCTTTGCCTGGGTCAAGGTGCCTCTTACTTCCACAGGGGGTGATTTGTGATAAGTTGGCACTGCACCCCACATCGGCACCCCTGCACCCTCCCTGCCTCTCAAACACCTCCAGGCTATCCTCCACAAATCGGCAAGACAGAAATTCCTGAACCTATTCCAACTGTCCCTGCCTCAAGGGATCTCCATTGCCCACCTCCAAGTTCAAACTCAGAGGCCATGGGTGACGTGGCTCATGAGACCCCAGCCCGTGCCTCACTGCCCTACCCCTTCCCTGTCCTGACCTCGGCCTGCTGCCGGGAGCCCGCCCTGTCCCCCTGCCTTCCTGGGACTCCTGGGCCTTGGTTCAGATGCCACTTAGGAGAGTGGGTTCCTTGTGTCTGTGCACCCCCAGCTTCCCGGGACTTTGGGGGTACACACAAGTTGGGGTTATTTCCCCCAATCGTGGCCTTCAGTGGTGTGCTGTGACAGCACCCGCCTTGCCTTTTAGTGACCTCACACACAAGTCCCTGACCCTTCTGGTCACTTTCAAGTTTTGAAAAGTCAGTTCATTCAGCAGTAAAAAGAACTGAGCTCTCAGGCCATAAAAAGATGGGGAGGAGCCTTAAACGCACATTGCCACGTGAAAGAAGCCAGTCTGAAAAGGCGCCACGCTGTGTGAGTCCAAGCACGAAACATTCTGGAAAAGGTAAAGCTAAAGAGCCAGTGATCGCCGGGGGTTCCGGGGGTGGGAGGGGGATGAGCAGGTGGAGCCCAGGGCGTTTCTAGGGCAGTGACACTGTGACACTGTCATGGCAGGTACATCATATCTTGTGTTTGTCACCCCCCCAGCACTGTACACGCAGAGGGAGCCGTGATGTCAACTATGGGCTTTAGTTAACGAGAGTGGATCGATATTGGCTCATCAGCCGTAACAAACAGACCACAGAATGCCAGGTGCTAGTAACAGGTGGAGATGGGCAGGGAGACCATGTATATGAGGACTCTGCACTTTCTGTGTGATTTTTCTGTAAACCTAAAACTGCTCTAAAAATTAAAGTCTGTTTAAAAAAATGTCACTCCAGTGTGGTCCAACACTCCACAAGTTCGTCCCCTCCAAGCCTAGGCTGCACCCCCCCGGGGCATGAAGGACCTGCTCTGGGTGTGGTCGCCTCCTCCTCTCTTGTCCGCCCCAGGATAGATTGGTGTTTGGCTGAGGCAGTCTGTTCACTGTCCCCCAATACCCATTCTCCCCTTCCTTAGATATAGAACCCCTGAATGTTAGTGGGTGTCTTAGCTAGTGCTGTTAAAAGAAAAATACCACAAGAGGGTGGCTTTAACAAACAGAAATTTATTTTCTCATGGTTTAGGAGGCTAGAGGTCTGAATTCAGGGCGCCGGCTCTAGGGGAAGGCTCTCTGCTGGCTCCCAAGTTTCTGTTCTGCAGCCTTCTTCAGGTGGCTTGGCTCTGTCTTCCCCCATCTCTGCTTGCTTGCTTTCTCGCTTGCTCATGCTGCTCTTTTTCTCTCTCTAAGAAGACTGACTTGAGACAACCTGACACTAATACTGCCTCATTAACATAACAAACAAAATCCTTCCCCAAATGGGGTTACAGTATAACCACAGGTATATCCTTTGCCTTCCAACTCCCAACAGAGGAAAACTGTCCCAGGGACTCAAACCAGTTCGTTCAGGTCCGAACCCTTACTGAGAATTAGTATTCCACCCCAGACATACTGAATCAGAATCTACAGTTTAACAAGATCCCCAGGTGATTCTTATGTATAACGCATTCTGAGAACTACCGCTTCACTAGTGGTTCTCAGAACTGGTTCCTAACCGGCAACATTAGCATAGCCTGGGAACTTGTTAGGTGCTGTCAGGTCGCTTCTGACTCTTAGCGACCCTGTGTCTAACAGACCCAAACACTGCTCAGTCCTGTGCCACCCTCACAATCGTTGCTATGCTTGAGCCTATCGTTGCAGCCACTGCCAATCCATCTCATTGAGGGTCTTCCTCTCTTTCACTGACTCTCTACTTTACCAAGCATGACGTCCTTCTCCAGGGACTGGTTCCTCCTGACAACATGTCCAAAGGATGTCCCTCCTGATAACAAAGTACATGAGATCAAATCTCTCCATCCTCACTAGTTAGAAATACAAATTCTCAGCAGAGGTTTGAACCAGAAAGAACCAGTTCAAGGCCTGAAACTGCCCTATAGGATTTCCAAGACTGTAATCTTTATGCAAGGAGCCGTTATGGTGCAGTGGTTAAAGCGCTCAGCTGCTAACTGAAAAGTGGGCCGTTTGAGCCCACCAGCCGCTGAGCCCACAAGCGGCTCTGTGGGAGAAAGATGTGGCAGTCTGCTTCCCCAAAGACTGCTGTCTTGGAAACCCTATGGGGCAGCTCTACTCTGTCCTCTGGGGTCACTACGAGTTGGAATTGACTTGACGGCGTGTGTTTGGTTTGTTTGAGTTGGGTAATCTTTAGGGAAGCAGACTGCCACATCTTCCTCTCGCAGAGCAGCTGGTGGATTTGAACCGCCAGCCTTTTGGATCGCAGCTGAGTGCTTAATGACTGTGCCACCAGGGCTCCTTCAACTACAGGCATGGGGGTTAGGATTTACAATACCTGTCTTTGGGGGATACAGTTCAACCCATAATACCGGCACACACAGCTGCTCCGACAGAGGTGTATTTCCTAGGCTCCCTTGCATTAGAAGTGACCATGTGACTTAGTTATGGCCAATGCACTGTAAGCAGGAGTGGTGGGGGCAACAGCCCTCCTCCTCCAGCTTTTCTCTCTCCTGTTGGCTGGGATGAAGATGTGATGGCTGGAGCTGCTGCAGCCATCTTGGACCATGTGATAGATCTGGGAATGGTGGCCACTACAACAGAGCACAGGCTAAAAGGAGCCTGGGTCCCTGAATCTGTATCTGCCCTGGACTACCTACTTGGACTTTTACATGAAAGAAAAATAAAACCCTAGCTTGGTTAACCCACTGTTACAGTGGGGTTTCTCTCATGCTGCATTTCTTTCAACAACTTCTCTGGTGCCTAGTAGGTACTCAATAAATATTCTTTTGAGGGACAGGCACAGGGACTGAGTAGGGGCTGGAGAGGCATGGACCTGAGCTGTATGTGCCTGTAGTGTTACTTGGACATCAGCTGTAAAGGACATTGGGATTGCCAAGGTTTTATGCAATCTCTGCCTCTTCCTCTTGTTGGGGGAAGGTGAGGTGGGGTACTCTTGCCAGCTCTTGAGTTTGCCTTTCATATGGAGAGCTCCAAAAGGCTAGCTCTGCCCTCTCTGTTGGCATCCCTGGGTGGTGCAAACAGTTAAGCACTTGGCTACTGACCAAGAGGTTGGTGGTTCAAATCCACCTAGAGGAGCCTCAGAAAAAAGGCTACATTTTTACTTCTGAAAGGTCATAGCCACTGAAAACCTTGCACACACATGGGGTCACCATGATGGCACATGAACAGGTTTTTTAGTTTTTGGCCTCTCTGCCATTCACTGGCCCCTCCCTTGGAAAGAAGTACCTTAATCTGATTGATGAGTTTGGAATGATAAGCAGGTGGGTTAGCCCAGCCACTCCTTCTCCCTTGTCTCTTGGGAACCAGGCTATGGATGGGGTTGCGTACATTCTGCTATGCTCTTCCACACCACCTTTACAGACACAGACCCCCATGCAGAGAGGCCTCAGTGTCCAACAGGGCTACCTGGGCAGGTAGAAATGTCCAATTCTAGGGTTCAGTGTTAGGAACTTCCCTTGCCCACACACCCTCTGTGATGGTTGCTTGTCAACTTGGCTAGGCCGTGATTCTGTGGTTTGGCAGTTAGGTAATGATGTCATCACCTCCATGATGAGATCTGCTACGAGCAGCCCATCAGCTGAAAGGGAGTTTCCTTGGGGGTGTGACCTATATTCAATATATATGAACTTTCTGGCAAAACTCACCGGCTTTTGCTCTGCTCTGGATTCTGCATCTGGCTCGTCATCATCTTGGGACTTGAGCCAGCAGCCTGCCATCTGACCTGTGGATTTTGGGTTCATCAGCTCCTGCAGCTACTTGAGTCAGATGAAGCCTGATGCTTGACCCATGGACTTGGGACTTTCCAGCCTCTACATCCATGTAAGCCATTTCCTTGATATAAATTTCTCTCTCTTTCTCTCTATATATAGACACTTCACTGGTTTTGCGTCTCTAGAGAACCCAGCCTATGGATTGAATTGTGCCCCCCCACAAAAATGTGTCAACTTGGCTAGTCCATGATTCCCAGTATTGTGTGATTGTCTACCATTTTGTCATTTGATGTGATTTCCTATGTGTTGTAAATGCTACCAGCCCTGGTAAATCCTACTAGCAGTGGTTAAGTGTTGGGCTGCTAACCAAAAGGTTGGCAGTTCAAATCCACTAGCCGCTCCTCGGAAACCCTATGGGGCAGTTCTACTCTGTCCTATAGGGTCACTGTGAGGCAGAATCAACTCGACAGCAATCGGGATGTATATTATATGTCTTAGTTATCTAGTGCTGCTATAACAGAAATACCACAAGTGGATGGCTTTAACAAATAGAAGTTTATTCTATCACAGTTTAGTAGGCTAGAAGTCTGAATTCAGGGCGCTAGCTCCAGGGGAAGGTCCTTGTCATCAATCTTCCCCTGGTCTAGGAGCTTCTCCGCCCGGGGACCCTGGGTCCAAAGCACATGCTCTGCTCCCAGTGTTGCTTTCTTGGTGGTATGAGGTCCCCATATCTCTCTGCTCGCTTCTCTCTTCTATATCTCAAAAGAGACTGGCTTAAGACACAATTGAATCCTGTGGATTGAGTCCTGAATCAACAACATAATGGCCTCTAATCCTGCCTCATACAGAGGTAGGATTCACAACAGGTAGGAAAATCACATCAGATGACAAAATGGTGGACAATCACACAATACTGGGAATCATGGCCTAGCCAAGCTGATAGACATTTTTGGGGGATGCAATTCAATCCATGACATTCTACCCTTTGGCCTCCAAAAAATTCATGTCCTGGACACATGTAAAACATATTCATCACATCGTATGTATGATTTTAATGAGGTAGGATTAGCAGCAGTTATGTTAATGAGGCAGGACTTAATCTACAAGATTAGGTTGTGTCTCAAGTCAATCTCTTTTGAGATATGAGAGATAAGTGATCAGAGAGACATGGGGACCTCATACCACCAAGAAACAAGAGCCGGGAGAATAGCACATCCTTTGGACCCAGGGTCCCTGTGCTGAGAAGCTCCTTGACCAGGGAAGATTGATGACAAGAACCTTCCCCTAGAAACGGAAGAGAGAGAAAGCCTTTCCCTGGAGCTGGCGCCCTGAATTCAGACTTCCATCCTCCTAGGCTATGAGAGAATACATTTCTCTTTGTTAAAGCCATCCACTTGTGGTATTTGTTATAGCAGCATTAGATGCCAAAGACAGACACTCTCCAATATCAGCTATGTTGGTAACAAAGGTGAGGTTTTCATCCCTCATCTTACTCCCCTGACTTGTTTCTCAGTTGGTTTAGAGCTCAGGTTGGAAAAAGGGGAAGCTGTTTATTGGCCCTGTGGCTACCAGCATCAGCTGTCACCTCTGACTTGCTGGGGATGCAGAGACCAGAAGGGGGTGCCAGAAGCACCAAGAGAGTACAGAAGGCTCCCTCACTGCTCCCTAGAGCTGCTGCCCCCTAGAAGCACCACAGGCTACAGAAGTCTTGGTTCACGATGTCGACCATGTTTCTGGAGGCCAACACCACCCCAGGGACAGCCCTTTCTGGTCTGATGTCCTGTGCAGGGACCGGGCTTGAGTCACAGGAGTCTTCACAGGTGTGTGGGACCTGGCCATGCGAGTGTGCAGGGGACACTGGGGGGACCCATAGGGCACGGTGAGGGCCTGTGCGAGGTAGGGAAGACCATGCTGGGGCAGGAGGAGGCGCTGAGGGCTGTGTTCTCAGACTCTCTCTCCAGATCTTCTGCACCCCCGCTGGGTCTCTCCTAGCTGTGCTGATCTGTAAAAGACAAAGGGAGGCAGGTGGGACCACACAGACCCCAAAGTTGCTAGGGGTCCATGTACCCATTTTCCTATGGCAAGGCTGAGGTCCATACAAGATGGAAAGCAGGAAGTGGAGCCCAGGTCTGAATCAGTCCGGTTGGTGCTCAATGCAGAGCCCTAGCCGCTCTTCTTGGGGTGCCCACAATGGCTACATGGGCCTGCCCGCACTCCTCACCCCCATCCCCTCTAAGTCTTCTTCCTGCTAGTCTGCTGTCCCCACTCCCCGCTCCAGCCCGCCATTAGGAGGCAGGGTCCAGAGGGGGTTGCCCTGTCTAGTCCACCAGCTCGGGGCTCCAGGGCTTGGCTGCCTTAAACCCTCTCACCTGAGCCTGCATCTTTGGGGAGCCGCCCTGTCTCCAGGAAGAGCCAGAGATTGCTGCACTTCTGGGTCTCCACTCGTGTCACCCCGTAGCTGGCCACCGAGCCTGTGACTGAGACGCATCGGGGGCGGGTGGGGGTGGGGGCAGGTGGGGTAAGGAGAGACAGGTGGGGGCAGGTGGGATAAGGAGAGACAGGTGGGAGGAGGTGGGAGTGGGGACAAGTGGGGACAGGTGGGGGCAGATGGGGAGCAGGTAGGGGCAGGTGGGAGTGGGGGCAGGTGGGTGTAAGGAGAGGCAGGTGGGCTGGGGGCCCCAGCCTGGGCACAGGCTGCTTCTGCAGACGGTGGTAGGCGGGCTCAAGCACTAAGACCAGGGACCCAACCACAGCCCTCCACCCCTTGAGGAGAACCCATCCCCACTGAAGAGCCAGAGTCACCTCTGGCAATTCGGATGCACTCCAGGGTCCCCAGGCACGGGGCACCGGGTACCCACCCACAGCCACCAGCACGGTCCACTGCAAGGGGTATGGAAACTTCCTGTGTATCAGCATCTGCAGGCCGAAGGCTGCACCAGTGCCTGCCCAGAGCAAGGCCCCATCATCCAGCCGCTCTCGGGCAGGCCAGGGACCCCCGGTGCGGCCTGAGGGGGGCACCCGCCAGGCCCCTGCACAACCCGGGTTCCGCCCTGCGGGCAGGTGACTTGGCGCCACCTCCTGGGAATCAGGGTTAGGCAGGAGACAAGGCCGCCCCACTCCCCCCGACACCTGGACCCTGCCTACCTGTGACAAAGGTGACAACGCCCTTCATGAAGGCGTTCGACTGGCACGCTGCATACTCCCCGAGTCCCTGGGGTGGGGCAGGGGTTGAGGCTCAGATCCCCGATCTCTCTACCTTCACCGCCCCTCCTGTCTCTCATTAAGGCACACTCTGGCCGCGGGGGCAGTGACCTGCCATAGTGACACCTTGGAGACTTGGACACCTTCCCCCCCCCCCATACCTGCTCCGGATGCCCGACCCCCTCCCCTCGCTTCTCCCCCGATGAAGGCACCCCCCACACACCCAGCCTCCCGCCCAGCTCCGGTCCGCTTCTGAGGTCTGGGGCCCGCGGACCAGGCCAGTTCTCTCACTGGGTGCTTGGCGGCCACGGCGTCGTCCACCCTGGACAGGCCTAGGTTCACCATGCTGGCCGCGCGCGGGGAGCAGGCCGGCCAGCTCAGGGCCAGGCAGAAAGTGCGGGGGAGACAGGACGGACCGCAGGGTCAGCGGAGAGGTCCCGGAAGGGGGAATGAGGCGGAGCCTCGGCGGGGCGGGGCCGGGGCCTGGCGAACTGCGCCTGCGCAGGGCCAGACGCAAAGCGCGGGAGAGACATGAGGGAGCGGAGCCTGGGCGGAGCCTGCGCAGGGTCGATGACGGGGCGGTTGGAGAAGGGAGGATGGGGCGGAGCCTGGGCGGGACCGGGCCGAGCAGAAGGGCGGAGAGGGAAGAGGGGGCGGAGCTTGCGCACGGCCGGGCAGAGAACGCGGGGGCGGAACCAGGTAAGGGGGGCGGAGCCTGCGGGGGCGGGGGTGACCCGGCCTCAGTTAACGCCCCATTCCACCCTCCCTTCCCGGAAAAGGACGCTGTTAAGTGTTATTATTATGGAAGGGGGCTTGTACAGAGGAACGTGCTCTTTTGCTTAAGGACCCCAGCAAAGGATTAAATCTCTTGAAAACGACCATGGAGGCCGCGATGCACCCAATTATTCTTTAGCAAATTAGTCCCGGGAATATTTATCAAGCCCGTGCTTGGAGCCGGCTCTGAGCTAGGGGCGGGGTCCGCGGAGGAGGCGTGCTTCCCATCCCTGGTTTAAGAGCAGGCTCCCTGAACCTCTTGATCCCAGGGACCCATCCTGGGTACGCTACCTGGTGGCGGACACTGGCCTGGGGCACAGGTTAGGGCAGCGTCTGGTGCAGGGGCGAGGCCCTGCTGGCCATAGAGCTGCTGTGGGCTTGCTGCTGCAGGGGAGGCTGCCGGGGGAGGGCACCCGTTTTCCTGGCCACTTCCCTACCTTGGCTCTACCAAGTGCGGTTGCTGCGAGCCCTCCAGCCCTCGGCTCCGAAGCACCCTCACCATCCAGCCTCCGCCATCGGCGTCCATGCCTCAGAGCTCCTTCAGGGGCCGGCAGCCGGGGAGGCGGATGGTGTACTAGCCAGTCAGGGAACCGCCGCACGCCCGCACATCCTTGCAACTGCAGGGCCCTGCGACAGGGAAGGCCTGGGGTGCGCTTGCTTGGGGAAGGGGCCCCCTGCATCTGGCCCTAGCGGGCCAGCTTCCAGCGAACAGTCATGCGGGGCGGGGGCAGAGGCCAGGGCGGGCTGAGCCCTGGGGTGCAGGTGGGGGCTGGGGTCATTCACTTCTCTGACAGCACGTCCTCCAACTCCTTCTCAACTAGGCAGGAGACACAGGTGCCTTTCTCTCTGCCTGTCTCCTCCACAACAGCAGATAGCACCCTGGCACGGATGCCCCTGAGATAGTTAGGGTTGTGTGTCAGCTTGGCTGGGCCGTGATTCTTGGTGGTTTGGCGGTTATGCAACGATATAGTTTGATATGTAATGATGTAATTTGGCACTTATGCAATGATGTAGTCATCCTCCAAGATGTGATCTGATATGATCAGCCAATCAGTTGTAAGGGGACTTTCCTCGGGATGTGACCTGCATCCAATATACATATGGACGTTTGGGCAAAGCTCACTTGCTTGTTCTGGATCCTGCATCTGGCTCATAATCATCTGACCTCCAGTTCTTGGGACTTGAGTCATTGGCCTGGGGTATTGCCTGCCGATCTTGGAATTCATCAGTTTCCACAGCCTGTGACCAGCAGCTTGCCATCTTACCTGCCCATCTTGGGTTCATCAGCCTCTGCAGCTATGTGAGTCAGGAGAAGCCTCCAGCCTGACATGCAACCCACAAACTTGGAACTTGCCAGCCTCTACAACTGCGTGAGCCATTTCTTTGAGATAAATCTCTCTATATATGTACATATATATGCTTTACTGATTTTCCTTCTCTAGAGGAGGACATCATGCTTGGTAAAGTAGAGGGTCAGTGAAAAAGAGAAAGACCCTGAACAAGATGGATTGACACAGTGGCTGCAACAATGGGCCCAAGCATAACAGTGATTGTGAGGATGGCGCAGGACTGGGCAGTGTTTCATTCTGTTTTACGCAGGATCGCTATGAGTCAGAAATGACTCAACGGCACCTAACAACATCATATCTCAGGCATCAAAAATTATCTTTCCCCCATCTTCCACCAAAAACTAAAACAAATATAATTAAACAATAACCCAAACCACTGCCATCGAGTCGATTCCGACTCATAGTGACTCTACAGGACAGAGGAGAACTGCCCCATAGGGTTTCCGAGGATGTAAATCTTTATGGAAGAAGATCACCACATCTTTCTCCTGAGGAATGGCTGGTGGGTTTGAACCGCCGACCTTTTGGTTAGCAACCAAACGCTTTAACCACTGTGCCACTAGGGCTCTTAAAAAAACAATAACACACTCATAAAAGAAGAAACAAACAAAATAAAATTTCTCCCATTTCCACTCCTAGACCTCACAGATATTGAAGGAAAAATGTGGTGTCCTTCCTCCTGGGGGTCATTACAGCACACTGGCCTACATGTTCTGGTGTCCTTCCTCTTGGGGGTCATTACATCATGCTCGCCTACGTGTTGTGGTGCCCTTCCTGCTGGGGGGTCATTACAGGCTCACTGGCCTCCATGTTGTGGTGTCCTTCCTCCTAGGGGGTCATTACAGGCTCTCTGGCCTGCATGTTGTGGTGTCCTTCCTCCTGGGGGGTCATTACAGGCACTCTGGCCTACATGTTGTGGTGCCCTTCCTCCTGGGGGGTTATTACATCACACTGGCCTATGTTGTGGTGTCCTTCCTCCTGGGGGGTCATTACAGGCTCCCTGGTCTCCATGTTGAG